TACTCGTTCCCTACTGAGTCGAGCAAACTGAACAAAATGCTTATTGTATATATGACAAACTTAATATATAGTTAGTGATATGAAGCAAATATAAAGTTAGGTAATAGAAAACAATTAAAAATTCATTAACAAACAAATGCTTTATCGTATGATTAATGAAAAAATATAAGAAATTGAATGGAAAAAAAAAAAAAATTCACACATATAAACCTAAAAGAAGTAAATTCTAATATTATTCATTATTCTAGAATGCATTATCATATAATAAACATTTTACTTTAAAAATTTTAAATTTGACAAAGAAGCATAAAAAATAAGAAAGTAAATCTTCTTTCATTTAAAATCAATCGTTTTGTTCATTAATATATAATATCATTCCATTACTATTTAAGAATTCAGTTGAACGTTTAAAGAATAACAAGTATCGATATATTCCATATTTAAAATACAACTAACTTTGGGTTATATACAATATTCCCCGTTATTTAATCATTCACTAATTTAAGTCCTATTCCATTACGATCGAAGATCGTAATTATCAAGGGAAATATCATTCTAGAAATTAGACATTCTGCTATATACTTATTTTTTGATGCATCGGAGAATAAAAGAAATATTATTTTTAATATTTTAGATAACTCTTATTCCGAGATATCGTCGATCACAGATCAAAAATAATATGAACGTTTATTAATTTTATGGGAGTAGTTCCAAGAACTCTCTACCAAGTGAGATAAAATTAAAAAATTCCAACCTTAAACGAGAAATACTGTATAAAAGAGGATCTTTATAATTATGCTCCTTTTTCAAGATGATTTTGAAATGTATAATTTTTTTTAAAATATTATTATTATGACAGTGAAGATATACATATCTCTAAATTCTAGCTCGCTTAATTCATTATAGTATTTTTTAATAAGACACCGCATTGTGACATAACAATCACTTCAGAACAAGTTTTCAGAGCTTTGTAAATTATTTGAGAATAAATTGAAACAGAATTTCAATAACAAAGCATATCAGATTTAATCAAGACCAACATCGTCCTGTGGTTTTGGTTTTGGAGTAGTTTGTGTGCCAGCACCTGGGAACCCAGGCATACCACCCATCATACCAGGAAATCCACCAGCTCCACCGAATTTCGAAGCCATCTTATTAATAAATGCCATAATCTTCGGATTGCTTTGGTACTTCAAAATATTTGTCGGATTCGTGGAAATTTCTTTGAAAGCTTCAGCTACTTCAGGATCCTGAAAAACAAAAAGTAATAATATGAGCAATATAATCTTTTTTTGTAACGTGAGAGTAATAGACCATAATATTGTGCATTATTAATAATATGTTGTATCAATAGAATACACACAATGAATAATTTTATGAATAATTTTATGAATAAATTAATACAAGGAAAAATAATTGTTTATTTTAATTCTTCTAGATTTTGATCACGTAGTTTTCTTTACGTCCGATAATCTTACTATTTATATTTATACCTCGGTAAATATGTAAAATGTATATAATAAAATATTTTGTAATAGTTACATTAAGATTTTTAGATTATAAAAAATAGATAAATAGATTGTTGTATTTTATACAATATCGATTAATTAACTGTAATTTAAACATATACATAAATGAAAATTTATTTTATACATGATATATAAATATTTGAACGATATTTAAACGATAGTGGAATAAATTGATTAATAGAGATTTACCATAAAAGCTTGGAGAACATCTGGATCGTTTAAAAATTTGTAAAAGTCACCCATTCCAGCAGTATCACCGCTGGAATCAGTTTGAGAGGTACGAGTGTTTTCTTCATAAATTTTTGCACTCTCTCGAGCTTTCCTTAATCTTTCTTGTCTCTCACGTTCTAACTTTTCTTGTATTTTACGTTCCTTCTTTCTTTTGTGTTCTTCGATTTTTCGAGCCTGTAAAAAAATAATATGATACTTAAAAAACTTTTATCCAATAAATATTTCAATAAACATAAATAATATAATGCAAAGATTTTTATAGAAATATCGTAATGGTTTTAAAATTATTGATTTGGAAGCAATGCTTAGATAAATTGAAATATATATGAAAAATGATAAAAACATTTAATTCGCAAGGGACGAAGGAAAGTTTGTTTCGTCAATGTCCAAACATTATTTCAAATCACGACAATGATCTTTATGCATCGCAAAAGGAAATAAAATTGGTTTGTACTTTATATTTATAATAAAGAGAAACTACACATCAAATTGTATATTTTGCGAAGGAATGATTAATTGTTGGTTAACTAGCACTAAGTAATAGGAAAGAGATATAAAAAAGATAATACATGCATTGTTGAACAAATAAATTTTATATAAATATATGAGAATTTTTTTAATGAAATATACGTTATAATATAAAAAATGGCTGCATTGTAATCGTAATTTTCCCTGAAAGGAGTATATCTCATGGTACAGGTTCAGGAACCTGTCCAAATACTAAATCATAATGACGTGAAACATGTCTGTTCAAGACGCATTGTGACCTCATACGATTACGAGCTTATTATAGACTGTGTACCGGCCAATTTGGCTAGTAAACTTCGTTTTTAGAATCGATACTTTTCCTGTTCTTATTGTACCCCTTTATATTTTACATATTTCGATTACTTTCCAATTATACGCTTCACTTGTATCCTTTCTTTCGATAAGTTTCGATCTACATTTCAAATAGACTATGAAAGCTCCTTTTGCACATCTTTCCGTGCCCCATTGTCTCAGCAATAACGAAACCTAGACTATTCTCAAAAATTTCACTTTCTTGACGTCAAGAAGAAAAATTCCCCAAGGTTCTCTAAAGTTTACGAAATCGTAAAGGAAAATAAAATACTTGTGTTTCCATTTTTCAAATGTACTATACATATATAAAAATAAAATAATACTTTAAACAATGAATATTTGCAAACGAAAAAGTTCGATATCATAATAATTACGAATCTCAAATACGAGAAACAATGTTCCACCAGATCTCTTAATTTCATCTTCTATTATACATATTTAACATCCACAATATCGTTGTAACAAACAAATAACAGGCAATTTACAGGCAACATCATCGATTTGTGAATCTGCACATTGTGAATCTATAAAATGGAAACAATTCGAATCCGATAAACACATAAACTTCGATAGGATCATCTCTAGCGAAATACAGACAGCAACGATTATAAATTGATAACATAGAGATAAAAGGAAAGAACACCGACAGAACGAATAAATAGGGACTAAATAGCAATAAATTGAATAAAAAGGAGAGAAAACGTTAAAGATACAAGAATGAATAAAAAGATCGAGGGAGGAAAGAAGACCACAGATGAGAAATACAAGATGAAGAACGAGGAGAAAGCAAGGATAGGAAGAATATCTGCGCAAGGAGAAAGGATGGGGGAAGGGGGAAGGCGGCATCTGTGGATAAGTGGAAAGGACGAAAGGAGAGAGCACGGAGGAGATAGCGACGGAGAGAGCGGACAAACGCGAGAACTTTTGCACGAGGGAAGCACCACCTTATACGGCGGCGACCCGGGCTTCTAAATATAAAGGCGCCCGTCGTTCCGTTGCTCCTCTCTGTCCGAGCACGCACGCATTTCGCCGCGGATCTCTTCTCTTTGCTACACGCGGCGTAGCCACGCTCTCGTAGGGACCGTCGATAATAGACGGCTGGAATTTCGCTAATATTACGTTGCGCAAAAGCCGTCTCGTCGTATCCTTTTACGTGCTTTCCGAATTCCGGGACAGATTACAACTTTTTTCACGTTTTTCTGAAAATCGTTACATACAAAAGTGAATAGATTCGGATTACATATTGAAAAAAAATTGAAAGAGATACAAAGATGTTCTTAATGAATTCTTGCTATTATTTGTATTTGTATTGTAAATGTTATGAATATTTGGAGCAGCTTTTTCTTGGAAATTTTTTTTTCTAGATAAAGTTGAAAATTGATAATGATATATTTAAAGATTTTACAATTATACAATTTTGTTTAATTAAGATTTAAATGATATTTCTAACGTTAAATGTTATAAAATAATGTGATATTAATAAAATTTAAATTGGTATTCAACAGAATATTGATAATTTAAATTATGTATAAAAAACTTTAGAATTATTATTTTTGATCATCAATTTCTATTTCTAAAATTTTTTAATGGGACCATATAATATAATATTAATAAAATAAAATTTCTTAATATTTGAAAGAAATTCCCGCCCATATGTTATTAATTAAATTTAAAAATGCTCACGTGGTTGACATTGAATATCATTTTTCAATGAAGATCAAGAAAAATTTTCTTATCTTCCATAATTAAAAAATCAAATTATCTTATATTATTTTATTTTATATAAAGTAAGCATGATTTTTAAAAGATTAATTATTCAAAGCAACGAAATTACGATGTTATTTGATTAAAATTTCCAATTTATTTTGATTACCAGCAAACATTCATCAAGATCAACAATTTTCATTCAAACAACCAACTTTCAACTAGCATTCGACTACATTTCCACCAATTTCCATGATGACCTTGTCCCCATATCACGCATGTATTTTGGGAATTCTACCACTGTGACGTTTGGCTCGTATTAACTAACTACACAATCTTTGATAAAAACTTTGTAATTTTCACCGACGAAAAGAGAAATGTAAATGTAGGAAAAAATTTTCGCGATTATTTATAAACTTCTATTTTTTATATTCATTATATTTCTGTTATCTATATCCTTCGCCAGGTTATATAAGAAAATTGAAAACCAGAAAATTGAAAAACATCAGATTTTTATTGATAAATAAGAGAAAAGATGGAGAAAACGTGATATTGAAAGAATGAGATTGAGGATGATGTGAAAGCTAGGTCGAAACGTGTGAAGGATCTTTATACACTGGTCAATGTTTTAGCGGCCAGGTAGACCCTGCAAACTCGAGAAAACCGGGTCGCCAAGAAGTATTTTTAAAACTGCCACTCTACTCCTGGTATCTACGAATTTTATGAGATAAAAATTATGCGAATGATTTTTGTGTATCTTGAGAAAAAATCAAATTGTCATTTTGCAGAAACTACCGTTGAAACTATTTTATTCTACTTTCTAAATTTTTTATCGAAATCTTAATAGGAGATCTTCTAACATCTCATTACTAATCATTGGTAATTAGTTTATTTATAAATGTTTCTAATTATAACAATTAATTATATATATATATAATCCATGTTTATTAAAAATCTACTAGGAACAAATAATTAAAAAACCTCCAACAATTGCTACTTATCGTCCAACTGTAACCACACTTCGATTCATATAAAACACGAGGAGAAGATATCTCGACAACGGCCTCCAACGGTGAGATACAAAACGCGATCATCTTCGATCACCGTCCGTTCGTCGCATATCAACTCGTATCACAACTCAAATCTCGCGAAAGGAGGCATTCAAAATATCACTCCACGAGGGTGAACAGAAACCGTCCTCGATCGTGTTAAAAGAACGCATTCCCCGTTTCTCCTAATCGAATATTCGATTCTCTCTTTCCTCCAATTCCACTCCATCCGACTAACGAACAAGTTAAAACGTTCGTTATCCTGCCATTTGTACTTGCACCACGGATGGAATCCCACGGATCAGGCGGGAAAAAAGGAGAAAATGGTGGCTCGCGTGGTTTCTCGACTGTGGGGTGAGAAGTAGAGGGGCGTCTTCGGGGTTTGGCGGTAGTGACAATGCCAGTTCCTCGCGGGCGAGTTTGAGTCGAAGGCGACTATCGAGTGAGAGGAGCTGCCAGCCCTGGCTCATCGTGTAGTGCCTAGTGAAACGAGATGACGGGCTCGCGGCTGAGACGGCCCGCGTACTTCGTGGGCCTCTTCTTGGCCCTTCTAGTCGCCGCCTTACAGGGTGAGTAAACTCCCCTCAAAGAACTCTTCCCTCGACCAGGGAATCGTATACTCCAACATCGCTCTTCGTTCACGTCGTACCGATTTCTTCTCGCCTTTATCCCTTACGCTCGATCAGAGAATATTAATCTTAAGTATTCTACCAGTGTTTTCTTTTTTTCTAATTTTTTTCCCCTTTTTTGGGACCGAGTTGTATTTTACTTTATACCGTTGAAGTTTTGTTTGTGATGGGATTCGATCGAAAATAATTGAACACGATTGAACGATTGGAAGTCGATGACGTCTTCTTCAGAAGTCAATGTACAGTTTTTAGAAAATTATTGTTTTATAGTATTCTCTTATAGTTTTCGTTTATAGGATTTTTCATTATTCTCGTATCATTTCGTGGTTTCGGTACTTTGGTTTCGACCGCTCGTGCCAAGATTCTCTCTCTTTCTCTTTATAACAGAAGTTATATCTTTTTATATACATTGTATACGTTTTGGAAAATTTTCGTGATTAATCCCCGATCGCACGAATAAAAACGTGCAACAAACAAATCGAACGAGAAACGTTATTTGTTTTCAATTTATTTTTAACGAGTTGCGACGCTTTTTTAAAATATAATTATCGCGTCGTTTGTTTCAAGTTTAATTATATAAATAAAGTGCAATGACGCGTTGTCTGAGCTCTTTATGATCCATGTCGTATCATTCTCGAAGATCATCGCCGAAACAGTTTCTTTCGTTTCACTTTTTTGCAGAAAGAGAAGGGTAAATTCTGTTTCATTCAGGATTTTTCACAGGATAAACGTTAGGATAACATTAGGAAGTGTCAGTGCGAACTAGATTTCTAGAAGTTTGTAGCGGTCGATGATGTGGATGACGTGCAGACGAATGTGTGACGATTGATGAAGGTCAATGTTACGTAAAGACAGTGGTCTGCGTCATCGGTTGCTGGCTCGTCGAGTCTCTTCACCATCGAACAGGCGTGTGATCGAACCGATGAACCTACAATCCGTTGCCTCAATTTTCTCTTATCGAGATTGGACAACATTTCTTCTCTATCCGTGGTCACGTGTCTTTTTAAAGGAATTTAAATTCTTTTTAAAATCCTTTCCTTTGATCTTTCTTTTCTTATCTTCTTGAAATGTTTGAGTTTTTTTCCCTAGAAATTTTCTTGGAAAATTTTCTTTTGAAATCTTTAAATCCATTTGATCTTTGCATCTTGTTTGAATTTGGCAATGTTGATAAATTGAGAAACTGAAATTGAAAATAATTCGTTGGATGCCGTTCCTTTTCCCTTCCTTTCTTATTGGAAACGCTTAATGTTAAAGTTGCAAAGAAAAGATAATAATGATATTTGATCAGTTCGGATTAACGAAATGGGACAGCGATCGGGTAAAAGATTTTGATCGTGGATTCAAGGATTTGTTATTTTGGGAATCGATGGAAACCAACTGTCAACAACTTGCAAATAATTACATAAGGACAGACATAAATCCGTGCCAGATTCGTTCTAAATTCTATGAATCTGATCGTGAATTCCGTTTAAAGTGATACTCGAATCTTAAACTCGAATCGTTGATTTGAGCAATTCACGACGAAGAATCAATCAAATTTCTTTAACGTTTGTAATCAAAATAAAATCAATCAAATGTAACGGTGTTCCCCAAAAATTTTGGATATAAATAACTAAATTTTCAAAATTTTTTACAAAATTACATTATTGTAGTAAATTAAATTAAATATAGGTGTCACGACACTTTTAACATTATATTAATATTCCTTAATATTATTAAAAAAAATCTGCAATTCAACTTTCGAAAAAAATATTACTATACTATTTACCAGAATGATAGTAGAATTTCCAAGCATAAAAGAGATGTATCAATGAAAATGATTAGATTCATGTCGCAACAGATTTGTGACGCATTGTGGAAAAATGAACAATGGATGGATTTTTAACAATGAATTCAATTTTTTTTATAGCGGAAAGATTAAAGACTATACATGTCACAACGTAAGGAACAAGACTTCAGATTCTATCTTTATCCTTGGTGGCTATGCTTGCCAAACGACAGCTGCTTACCTCTACTTCCATTACCCGTATCTTGACATTTTCGAGAATTATTTTGCGACATGCATAATTTTAACATATTATTTTACAGATCGCTAGAGTCTAAAATTAATATCATGTGCGTAAATTAGATTCCTCGATCACAATTTATGTTTTGTTTATTCTCATAATCAAATTATTAAATCCAAACTAACGAAGAGAAATCATATGTTTCTAAGAGAAAAAAGAAAATAGAAAAAAAAAAAAAAATTTAACAAGTTTCAAATACAAAATGTAACAAAAAATTAAACTTCTTGTTAATTTTATGAAAAACAATAGAGAAACAAAATGTACGGAACGATATAAGATCTGATGCCAAAAGTACTAACACGTGTGATGTAATGATGACAATTTACGAGCAATACAAGCTACGTATTTTCTTCTTACAGCCTGTAGACAGACTAAATTTCTTTTAAAAAATTTCATCACAGAATCTTGTTCCAATAAAAATTTTTTTCATAATAAATCTAATTAATTTATCTAATCTTTTTTTTTATCTTTTATCCGATTCGATCCTGTCATTCGATTCATTGTTTTCTCAATAAACACTGTATAAATCATTATATAGATGATCGTGTCGATCATTTTCGTATCGATCAAGAATCTCAGTTAATACAGTTTGAACTTTTTCGCAGCGAATAACCGATAAAAATACGTTTCGCTCATCCAATATATAAATATTTTCAAGTGTTGCTCGGTTCAAAGCCGCCTACTCGTTGCTAAACTTAGAAAGCGGCCTCCTGGTCCCAGGTACTGCCTAGAAAGATGATATCGACATTTTCATCGACCAAGATTTTAGTTACGATGCCGCATAATATAATATCGAAGATTTTAGCGATCCAGAAACGAAGGTGAAAATATGAAAGAAATTCTATTTGAAATCGATAAATGGAATTCATCATCAAAACTATTTGTATCATAGGAGATCCATAGATCTTAACCTTGAATTATCCAGTTCATTTATGATTATTTTTCCTTGTCAACTTTATTTTGGTAGATTTCAAAATGATGTTGTTCTATTTTACAATATGTGAAATACAATTTTGAACCGTTTCCAATTCTTTGTTTTAATTCAATTATAGAAATTAATTTTCTTTTCTCAGTTAATTTAAATGTGGAAATACAATGATTTTCTGCAGTGTTCTCAAAACTTATGAATCAGAATTTCTTAAATTTATATATCATCCTTCAAATAAATAAACGTACATAATTTCATGTGTATAAAATAGCATATAAAAAGATTAACAAGTTCGAATAATGAAATTTCAATAAAAAGAATTCTAGTAATTCCTGAAATTTCTAACGAAATGCAATGAAGGGTCTATCTCCTTAACGAAGATTTCATTTTTTCTTGCTAATTCTAGATTGTCTTCAAGAAAACCGGGTACTTAAACCCGGATCATCGAGCATGGTTGTTGTTTCTGCACACCTGTCATTACTCGAGCACGCGCTCAACCAAAACGATGTGTAACGACTTTGACAAGATCTTGCGTCACTTGGGTCAGATATTTTTGGTAGTCGCGTGGCGTTAAACTCTCTTGCTAAGCTCCCGTGCTTTAGGTTATCTAATACTCCGCATCTTCTTTTGGCACCGCGTGTTTAGCATAGTGAGAACTCTCGATGAAAATTCCTGGCACTCGAAGAATCGGCATAGAATCAAGCCAACCGTGAAATTTTTTTGCAAAACACGTACAAAAGGGAAAAATACTTCTCACGTTGATAAATTGAAAATCTAGGAAATCTTCCATTGACGATGTAAAAACAAGTTACTTTATTTTTCTTTCGGTTCCAAATTAAAAAATTATTCAATTATTCGTGAATGTTGATGAAAATGTAAAAAAATGTTAAAAAAAAAAAAAAGACTAATGGAGATAAAAATATTGGAATCGATGTGATGCAAAAGAAAAAAAAGAGAATAAATGATTAATTTCCGAGATAATTCTTGAGTAAAAACTCGTGTTCCAGGAGTGCAAAGCGAAGAAGAACTAGAGGTGCCGCCAGAGGATCTGTGTCGACCTTACATTGAAAAGGCATTGAAAGACCTCGGTACAGGTAATGTTAAGATGTTGAGGAATATTAAACTGGAGCACAGCGATTTCTAGAATGTTTCGTTTGAAGGATCTTTGGAGCAGACCAGTGCCGAGGTTGGGATCGACGTCGATAAAGAAAGTGAAGAAGAAGAAGGGAAACCTGCGATCAAAGAAGTAAGGAAGAATACTTTTTTTCGATTGGAAAAATTACAAGTTAATTTCAATTCTGTTAAAATACATTAAAAAATATGGCAACATTTTGTATATATAATAATTGTGAATATTTAAAAATAGGAGCCAGAAACTGAAGCTTCGAAGGAAGATGCAGAAGAGTCGGTAGAAACGAAAGCTGCGGAGAGCGCCGAACAAGTTGAAGAAGAGGCGGAAAAAGCATCCGCAGAAACTGAACAGAGCGCTGAAGTTGGAAAAGAACAAAGTGGCGAAGCGGATGAAACGAAAGGTGATACACGAAAAATATCTTTTGAGATACTTGAGACTCAAACATAAATACAACATTTCTTGTCTTCCTTATTCTAACAAAATTTAGAGCTGTTATTATTTCACAGGTGAGGAAGAAGAGAAATCTGGAGAAGTAGATAAAGGAACCGAGGAAGAAAAAGAAGAATCTGCCGAGCAAGCGAAAGAGCATGCTACAGACTCCGACCAGGAAGAAATTGAAGAGACGAAGGAGGAGAAATCTGGCGAAGGAGCGCAAGCAGACGAAGGAAAATCCGAGGAAGAAACGCAAGGAGATGCCGAGGAAAGATCCAAAGAGGAAGATGCCGATAAATCCGATATAGAAATTGGAGAGGATGAAGGAAAATCGGAGGAAAAGTCGCAGGTTGACGATGGAAAATCCGACGAAGTCCAGGCCGAAGGTGAATCGGCCGAAGAACCGAAAATCGACGAGGAGAAATCCGACGAAGAAGCCAAAACCGAGGAGATAAAGTCTGACGAAGAGAAAGAGAAAATCGAGGACGAAGGGGAAGAAGAGACGGAGAAAGCTGCTTCCAAGGAAGAGGAAGAAAAGGAGGGGGATAGCAAAGCCGAAGAGGAAGGTCAATCCGCGGAGCGACAAGCGAGCGAGGACGAAACGAAGGAAGAGAATAAAGAAGGCGAGGGCGAAAGTGTCGAAGATCAAGTAGAAGGAGGTAAAGAAAGTGAAGAAGCTAAGTCGGCGGAAGAGGCTGCAAAATCGGGAGAGCAACAGGAAGGAGCTGAAGAAGAGAAGGAAGGAGAGGCCAAATCCGCGGATGAGGAAGGAAAATCCGTAGAAGAGGCAGAATCAAAGGAGGAGAAAGCTGAGAAATCAAAATCTCGTGCTAGACGAGAAGTTGGCGAAGAAGAAGAAGAAGAAGTAGGAGGTGAGGAGGATGCTGAAGGCTCGAAAGAAACAGAACAGAGCGAGGAAGAAGAACCTACTCCCGAGGAAGACTTGATCAGAGAAATAGTGATACCGGAAAATTTGCGGCCGCGTGATCATATTAATCAGCTGTTGAAATTGGACGAGGAAAATGAAGAGAAGGAGCGAGCCATCCAAAAAATCGCGGATATTGTGTTGAAGGAGTTGAAAAGGGTTTATGACAATGCCATCCAGCCGTTAGAATCTCTGTATAAATACAGAGACTTGAGCAACAGACACTTTGGTGGTAAGCATTAATAATTAATAATTAATAAATGTTCTTTTTTATCGATATCCAAAAAATTAATCCAAATTATTCGACTTAACACCATATTTGTTAGATCCAGAAATATTTTCCAAGCCACTAGTTCTTTTCATGGGTCCGTGGAGCGGTGGAAAATCTTCCATCATAAATTATTTACTCGATATCGAATACAAGCAGACATCGTTAAGGACAGGTGCGTAAGTAACGAGAAACGAAGAAAGTAGTGAGAATTTGTTGTGACAAAAAAAAAAAAAAAAGAAAGCTTCACTTACTTCACATTGACGCTTAACTAAGTCGGCCGTGATCACGCCTTCGAATAGTAAATAATGATTTAGCGGTAGATTTAGAAGCATGCTAGAAGCATGAATTACAGATAGTGTTTAGGTGGTTTGAGAGAGTGCTTAGAGGAGCAATGCAAAACGCCAAATGGAAATGACACAGGAGCCGAGCCATCTCCAGCCTACTTCAATATTATAATGCACGGGGAGGAAGAGGAGATCCTCGATGGCACGCAACTCGCCGCTGATTGGACTTTCTCCGGATTACAAAAATTCGGCCAAGGATTGCTCGATCGTCTGAAGGGTTTACGACTCGATAATAAGTTACTAGAAAAAGTGAGTATTTGATTTATTCTTAAAATATTAATAAATTTAATATTGCTTAACGAACGATCTCTACATTACCAGGTGAATATTGTCGAGATACCAGGAATCTTGGAAATTCGTAAACAAGTCCAACGTTTATTCCCATTTAATGATGCGTGTCAATGGTTCATCGACCGTGCAGACATAATATTTTTAGTATACGATCCATCAAAGTTGGATGTTGGGCCAGAAACAGAAGCGATTCTTGATCAATTGAAAGGAAGGGAGCATCAGGTAAGCTTCGACATTAAATTTCAGATGTGTTGGCATCTGCGTAATGCGTACTTCCGCAACAGACACGCATCATTCTTAACAAAGCTGATCAAGTAAAACCGGAGGAACTCATGAGAGTGCAAGGTGCTCTGATCTGGAATATATCACCGCTAATGTCTAGCGCTGAACCACCGATCATGTACTCCACGTCATTGTGGTCAATCCCGTATGAAGCTGGTGCACCTACCAGGTTATTGTATGCTCAGGAACGTGCATTTTTACGCGACTTGCGTACTGCCATTGATAAACAAGTCGAGCATAAGATAGCAAGCGCCCGGAGATTCGCTGTAAGTTATTTCGCTTTAATCTTTTATTCGTTAAACTTGTTGTCTTCAACGAGGGAAATTATTTTCTTGTTGCATGTAGGTACGAGTGCGCAATCATGCTAAAATGGTAGATTGCTATCTAACCACATACTACAATCACAAGACATTCTTGGGAACAAAAAGGAAATCAGTGACAAGATTATCGAGAATCCACAAGATTACCACATCTACGAGGGCCTGAGTACACTGAAGAACATATCACGATATGACTTGCCCGATCCGGATGTCTATCGAGATTTTTTCCGGTTGAATCCTCTCTATGATTTCCCTCTATTAAGCTCTACGTGCACGTATTTCCGTGGATGTCCAATCAATAGACTCGACGTTGCCATTGCTTACGATTTACCAGAGCTCGTAGGCAAATATAAGAAATCAGTTGAGCAAGTTATACACGAGTACGAAACAAGTCCTCCTAGTTGAGTGTAATCCTACATTCTGAAATAGCTCTTGATGCCGTATGAGGTATGAGGTGAGAGCAAATTGTACAAAACAAAAATGCGAATGAGTGAAAAGAAGCGAACATTAGTGTAAGTTCATTACTTGAAGCAGTACAGAGAAGTTTCTTTCTTAAAATAGTAAAAAATAATCTTGGATCGCCTTCAGATAAAAATCCAACTGGATAATTAAATTAAGAGAAGAGAAACCTAATTCTTCTGGAATCACGCTTTGCGCGATATATTAAATAATTTATTTAAAGATAAGAAGAGACATTGTTTCGAGGTATGAAGATATACTATTGGTTTTGTAGGTAAACAACATGGATATTGGTGACACTAAGAGGCAAATGCTTGGTTAATAGTACGCTTAACAAATGTTTAAGTGTATTAATGGATTGAATCGAAGATTTCAAGATATATATACTTGTGTTTGGAAAATAGGACAAGTGTTACCATTCCAATTTAAAAAAAGAATAGTGAGTTTCCCTTGAATGTGTTTAACTACACCTAGAATCACACAGTTATGGAAAACATATCACAATAATGGTGGGTCCTATTATCTAATACATGAATATAAAAATTGAAGATACAGTGAACTCGCACAATAGACTTTTTGAAACTTAGTGTAATGGTTGTGTAATTGTAATAAAATACTGTGACACTTTCAGCCATCAGAACAACGTATGATGAAAGCAGTTACATATTATAAGTATGTAAAATAAAATACATAAAAATATTTCCACTAAGAAAGAGATAAGAATGATCTCTTTTTGAAGCTTTTGTGAAATACCTTGTATAAACAAATTGTGTTCTTATTAAAAGTTATAAATATTTATTTAAAAGAATTATTAGTTACTTGATAATAACTTCCCATGTTAATAAATAAATACAAATATATTTTCAATGTAAATGAAAATGTCTTGAGATTGTTTGTTTTAGTAAAAAATTTGATTTTTAATGTACCTTATGTAAATTAAATGCTTCATATAAAATATTTATTGTTTTACATTGTGTTATTATTATTTACATGTATGACTGATTTTTTGAAAGTAAGTAAATTGTTGATATTGTTATTATTGTAATTATTACTATTTTATTTAAGTTAAGTATCGAAGTGAAATAATCTTAATTTATGTATTTTTCAAATAAATAAAAATATATAATATATTCGCGATTTGCATAAATATAATATTCTCGATTTTAAAATTGCAAAATTATTTAATAAATAAAATCTAATAATATGATATTACATAAAATATTATAAAAAAATCTTATATGATATAATTGACTAATAAATATTACATGCTTACTATTAAATAAACATATAATCCTTTGAATAATAAAAAATAAAAAACATACACAAATTAATTAATTTAATAAATTATGTTATGAAAAAAAATAACAATTTAATAGAAAAATACTTACATTTGGTGTTACTTCTCGTAGCCACTCATCAGCTTGCTCATCAAAGTCAAATTTACAAGCAAGTCTCAAATCATTAACTGCTTCTTCAAATTTTCCAAGCAAATAATTAGCTCTTCCTCTAAATTTATGTGCTGCTGCACTATCCGGATTTAATTCCAAGGCACGATCACAATCGCGAATACAAGCATTAGGCTTATTCAATAATAAGAAAATTTGTCCACGTTTAGCATAAAGTAATGCTGCCTGTGGATTTAATATAATAGCTTCAGTATAAAGTTCTATAGCTTTTTCATAATCTTTTTCTATAAATGCTGATACAGCTTCAGAACGTTTAGCTTGAGATTCTGCAATTTCTTCTTCTGTTGGTTGTAAAGTAAGATTTCCCATTTTTTGAGGAGCATCTGTATCTGGTTCTAGAAAGTTCATTATTAATTAAAAATATTATAAAAATATAACAAAAAATTAAATATTTGAAAAAAATGAAATTTTAAATAAATAATATTACCAATTACTGCACTCATATCAAGTTCAAGATCACTTTCTTCTTCACTTTCTGGTTCAGATTGTGGTTCTGGTTCTTTAGATATATTTGCATCTTCTGATTTTTTACTTGGTGATTCATTATTTTCTTGTTGATTTACTTTTGGTATTTGTCCTCCAAAAAATTCAATAATGTTTTTACTGTAGAATATTCTGGTTGATTTAATATTGAAGGATTTGCCATACAGACATGAAAAAACGATTCCATTTCTTTTTGAACGTCTGGTTTTAAAGCAGGAGACATTTTGCTACCTAAAATGATGACAATTGTTTTATATCATATTTATTAATGCCATATAATTACGAAAGAAAATTCTACATATTAACATGCTTGACATTATCGTAAATTAATCATATATGCAAGTTATATGAACTATTGCGTAAGAAATTATCTATTTTACAATAAATTTTCATTTCTTTATGTTATTTCGTACGTTTGAAATACCGGTAATGAATAATTCTAAAATATTTAAGAATACTTTCGAATACTTACTGGCAATAATATATAAAATTTGAGTAAATTCAAATGGAAAATATGAAGTTAAATTTTAAAAATATTTTTATTATTCAAAATATTTTATATTATTTACGTTCTCAAGATATGAGTATAATTTTTTATAGAACACAACAAATTGTGCAAGGCATATGAAGTAGTTACGTACTAAATACGTATAATTGTAAGGTTCGATACACAATACTGCAATGTATAGAATATGTACTATATATGTCAGCAAGTTTCCAAAATATATGTACAAATAAGATTTGATTGGTTGAAACTTTTTATAATAGATAAGAATAAAAGAATATGTTTATGAATGTAATTACGAATATGATGTAAATGTAATAAATAAGAATAAAAATTCATTTACTTGATAGAGTTAAATAAAAATAAATTTTTAATCATTATTAGTTAATCATATTATATGTTAAATCAAAAATAAATAACTTTCAATATTATTTACTAAAAAAAATATATATATATATATAATTAATATATGTAAATAATTCATAACACGATTATTTTTACATATAATTGTATTTTATTGTACATAACCTATAATTTTTCGTTTTTTTAATCCTTTTTTTATTTAATATTAAAAAAGTAACAAGACTTCAAATAATAATAAACAAAATTTGAATATACGTATAATAAATATTATTTCTAAAACTACATTATTTAAAAAGAAGTAATAAGGCTTTTTTTGTTTCATTATATTTTCCAGCTTTATTATCTTATACTATGAACTAAATAAATTGCAGTTAAAATCCTCATTATGCTACAGACAAAAATATGATCTAATATTTACAAATGAGGTGTGTAACGCAAGCTTAACAATAAGTTTTCAAAAATTTAATATATGTATATCGACAAGTTCGTTACAAGACGGCACAGTATGTGGATATACCTTTTATCATCCACTCTCATTAAAAATTATCAACAATTACAAGACGGTTCTTCACAGTACACACCAAATCTATATTGTAGAAATTACTTTACTGTATAGAAATATCCAACCACGCTGCAATATATTATGCTGTGCCCTATTGTAAGAAATTGGCTGTTCTCCTCTGCATAACAGATAACAAAATTATATGTATCTGTTCAAGAAATCCGTTGAAAAAAGTCTAAGATCATTGTCATTCAATTTAATTGTTCATCACACTATTTACATGTAATTGTTACCTAAAATTAGCGATAAAATATAACATCTATTCTATGTAGAATTAACTATGATAGATTAGTTTAAAATTAACATTATAAATGAGAAAGCAGAAGGAAACCTGAAATGCTAGTTAGAATAAGAGAAATGAATGTCATGTACACAGTTATATGAGAGTATTTTTGTGTGAATGAATATGATGTGATGAATATTATCACTATATGATTTCTCGTTTAGAAACGTTTACCATCGTCACTTTTATGGCATGATATACTCCTTATTCTATGTTACACGTATGATAAGATACTTGGCTGTGTTTAAAATGATACATTACATGGGGATAGTTGGCAAAAATTAAAACAATAAATATAAACACAAGAAGGATGTATGAGACATTAAATAAGTGCCATTTACTATTGCTCGTTTTCGACATTTCTATTACATTTGAATAAATTAACACGCAGATATTGTAAATTAATCATCAGTACATTCTTTTTTTTTTTTAATTAGATTTATTATTTCAATTTACTATTCCTCTTTCAATTCTTTTTTATTTTCGAATTAATAGAAATTTATGGAAGAATTTATTAACATCAGTTTTATTAACATATGATCTACAAAAATTATTGCGTGTTACATTTTGTTAGAGCTTTAACTTTAATAAGTTGAATCGTTTGTATATAATTTACACGCATCAATAAGTTATGGCAATACGTAGGATAGCTTTCAAATAATATATTTAACATTCGCCATATTCTATGTAGGACGGCCAGTTGAAAATGTTTTATACATCTCCTTCTTATTAAAGGATTAAAAAATATTTTTAGCTCGAAATTATTTTCTTTGAGAGCAAATAATTAATTAAACATTCACGTACAAATTTTAATTTTCGGTGGTTTTAAATTTTATATATTTTTCGAATATGCACAAAAAAAAATGAATCATTTTTTTAGAAAAAAAAAAAAAAAGAAAAAAAAAAAGAAAAAAAGAATCGATTATCAATTTGAATGAATATATATTACATACTGGTATTAAATATCTTTGATACCAAAACACATTCAATCAAAATGCATGGATGCATTCCTTTTTTTTTTAAAATCGATTTTCACGAATTCGCGCATTCATGTATGTATGTATGTATGTGTATATGTGTATCGCATGAATAGAAATAGTTTTCGTCTAGAAAAATATTGTTTTTAAACTGCAAACATAAAAGCAACAAAGAATTAGGATTATTTGTCATTTGAAGAGAGTTTAAAGGTTGTCAGAGAATAATTTTATACAATAATATGTTATTTGGTTCTAAAGTAGAATTTCAATTGTCATGTATGATTTTTCGTTTCACAGATCTAAAGTAAAATCATTATATCCCGATTTCCGTATAAAATTATAGTTTGCTTTGTACATTTCATTATTCTCTCTTTTTTTTTTTTTGTTTTTTTCTTTTTCTTTGTTGTTAAATCGTGAATCTCGACGTCAATAAAGATTATGTGCACATATGTATGAGGGACAGATCACACACGATGTTTTCATGTGATTAAATTATTTTCAGCCATATAATTATAATCGTTTCGTCGAATACGATTACATCGTAACGTTCTACGATTATTTTTTAACATCGAACAACACGGAATCTCTAATATGATTTCTCTTCTTTAACACTGTTTAAATAGGATATAATTTATTAAAACAGGAGGATAAGGGTTTTTAAACACGAAGATAGGGCTCATTCTTTTTCATTTTGGAATGTTTGTGCACGAAGCTTAATTTTTATGATTTCGATTATTTCTTTCCTTTTTTTCTTTTTTTTTGTCGCGGGTCATTTTGATTTTGAAATTTAATCGATACATTTACAACGATCTTTCAAAAGTTTATGTTTTTTTCGAAACAGCAATAAAATTATAACATTCTTTACAATATTTGAAATATTGTGGAATTAATACATATATTATTATCATTTCGTTGATCCGCCAATATGCTCTCACGATTAATAAAATCTGTCTGACTAGCAATAACAATGCTCTATCTGAGAGATGAGAAACGCCAATATATGTATTTGATTAAATTTTTTGAAGTAAACTGAATTGACTACGGTTTTCGATTCATAAACAAAAAACATTTTGTTGATATACAAGCTTATAATTTATTAGATTCCGTTTTTTTAACGGAATTAAGCTTTCCTTTCTTCTTCGTCATCGTGTTCCTTCCTTTTTTATTATCTTCTTCATAATGAAAACATACGTTTATTATACTTGAACAGAAGTGAAATAAGTTTTAGATGCTCGAGTTTCAAATAGAATAAATGCTCATCTTGATGTATTAATGCATAACTCGATTTGATGATTACAACAACAATTTCAATCCCATCGTAGTATCATATTTTACATTATATCATGAAAACCTGTAATCAGCTCATTTTACATGAAGAAAGATGGATTAAGGATCGTCCACAATTTTCGATGATACGATTTGCATCGTAACTAATGCCAACTTAGTAATTAAGATCGATTAAGATCCACATGATGCCATCAATGAAGAATCAAAACTTTTTGTACGTTACTTGTACAATGGTATTATACGCGTATACTTCACTGGAACAAACGCGTGTAGAAATAAATCTATGATTTGATTCTTAACTGCTAGAAATTTTGATATGATGTAAGTGTGTGTAAGTTATATTCTTCATAGACTGTTATAATAATAATTATTATTATTATTAATTATTATTTACTTTTATTATTATTATAATTATTATTATAATTATTATTATTATTATTATTATTATTATTATTATTAATATTACCATTATTACTTTTTTTTGTATTTAAGAATACCATTTTATTTTCATTTATCATCTTTCTCGTTTAAACAGCAAATAGAATCAGGCATATAGTTATATAATATAATACACTATTACAGTTTCTTTGTTTTTTTGTTTTTGTTCATTTTTTAAATTAACCCCGCTTCCTCATGATCTTTTAGAAGTTCCATGGCATTCATAATTTTTTTCCCTTTTCCTTTTAATACTTGCTAGTCATGGTGGGTACGTTACCATATGTTTTCTTTTTTTTTTCATTCTCATTGCGTTCAGTGTGAGATCATCTTCGTAAGGTATGACGAACATAAAGAAAACAACGGATATCGATATTTAGATACAGAGAGAAAGAGATGGAGTGATTGGTGGTATGAAGGATAATTATCTTGAAAACATATTTTTGAAAAAGATAGTTGTTCGTCATCGAATATTCTTTCCAATCCGAATATTTTTTTTTATACAAAGAATATATCGCACTCAATTTTTTATCATGTCACATTGCTCAAAATAGTTCTTACAATAGACGAGGTAAAATTTCTGATTCACCGCAAAGGAAAGTTATCCTACTATTAATTTCAACAGAGTTTTATTTTGTTTCTTTCTTTCACTATCATTTCGTGTTTTAAATAAACACGTTTTACTTTTTCTTTCGCAAGATTTTAAAGTAATATTGTAACGTCAAAGGAACTGTGCAGCAAGCTTATTACAGAGTATATTCTTTCTTTTTTTTTGTTTTTTATACACATAATTTTTACCTTATGATCGAATAATAAATGGAAATCGATTCGCCTGTAAGAATTTTATAGCGTACGATTATTACTCGGATTCGATAATATCGATCATTAACTAACCTCAAAAAGTATGCATAGCAAACATTATGTTTTTTTTTTTGTAAATTCACATTCTCATGTACTTATTGTGTATATATATGTGTGTGTGTGTGTTTGTGTGTGATGTGTTTATCGTAACTTTTTGACTTACTCACTAAACAATTTGTTATTTTTATAAACAGCATTCATACCGCTAATCTATCTCTTAATAGTACGTAAATAAAAGAGAAAAAAAAGGAAATATAAACAAAAACGAAAAGAGCGATATCTTGATTGATAAATCGATAGCAAAAATATACGAAGGTATTAAAAACCTATTTAGATACTAAATACTTGTATTAATCATTCCTATAAACTTATAATCGTATCTGCATGCACTCAGCATACCAATTCTGTAAGTAGTTATATTAATTTTGTGAAATACACATGTTTCGTCAAATTAAAAATATTACACATTTCACAAATATTTATGAACAAAAAAAAAATACATCTAATAACACCATTTTTCAATATCATTCAACAACACGATAAAAATTTTTTTTCTTAATTTTCGAGATTCGATAAACAAATCCTAAAGAACATTTAGAATTAACAACGATTTGATTTATAATTTTTTTTCTTTAGAATTTTTTTTACAGAGAAAATGTCTGTAATTGATTATCGAGAAACACAAGCATTAAGTTCAATTCATATAGTACACAAGTTTGATATGAGTCAAGCAGATACAAACTATCTCGAACGTGCAAAAAAAAAACACATTATTTGTCGACATTCCATACGATAATAAATTAAATAAACATCTGACCATCGTTTGTTTGACGATGAATTTCACTAAATAAGAACATTATATATATATATATATATATTATATACACGTGTTATGCATTGGTAAGAGTCATACATTATACAGTAATATAGTTGAGTATAGAATAAGCTACAACTTATTGTAAAATGGTTTGGTTGGACCTAACTATAATCAATATTCGCGATATTGGATATCTCAGCTATAACATGAATTGATTTTTTGGGTCTATGAACATTTCTAGGCCCGAATGATAAAAAATGGACGGGTGGAAACAATAAAGTAGGAGAGAGGGGAAAAAAGAAAAGAAAAGAAAAGAAAAGAGAAGAGAAGAAAAGAGAAGAAAAGAAAAGAAAAGAGAAGAGAAGAAAAGAGAATTAAAACGCGAGGATTTTAAGATAGAAAAAGATAAGAATACATGAAGAGGGAAACAATGGTGGATAAGGAAAAGGAGTTAACAGGAGATATATTTGAATGTTTATTTAATCATAACTACCATTAGAGATCCAATGTTCTTTTTCTGATTCTCTGTAATCTTATTCCAGAATACTAAACTCTCGAAGTGGCGTCATAATATTACTTTAAATTCATGTTAATAAAGTCTATCCTGTGTATGAGAATTTAACTGCGTGTCAACATGTCTCATACCATTATATATATATATATATAATTTTATATATATATAATATATATATAGTTTTAATAATAGTATGTATAATATATAATTATATTCACTACCTGCATATCACAACATAATTTATCTCTCTCTCTCTCTCTC